CGGTGTTGCTGTCGTTGTAGAGGCGGTGACCTTGACCTCCAACCATTTGCTGGACGCGAGGTACTGCTAGTGATGTTCGCTGAACTTGGGTGGAGCGTGCGCTTGGCGAGCACACTCAGAGCATGATTTCACTGTTCTTTCGATATCCGCATCGATTACCGGCCAGTAAACAAACGAACGAGCGAGTCCTTTCATTTTCACAATACCGTGTGCTACGTGGAGATCCTCTAATACTGACGTACGGAGAACGGACGGTACAACCATATAGGTAACTCTAAGACCAGAAGGTCCCGAAGAAACGTGCTCAACTTTTTGGCTCAGCTCTGCTACTATCTTCGCTAATCGATGCACCCCTCAAAACATAGGAATATCCTCGAACCCCTCATTTTATCTGTCAAACTTTCATAGCGAATCAAAACAAACATTGTGTAGTACTAGAATTTTGACAAGAATGGGGTACGTTAATCGATTTGCTTGGGACCAATAGGCTAGTCAAGTAGTGAGCCAATTTAAAATCGTTAGTTTCCACCGGTTGGTACAACGATGCTCAAATAGTAAACAGTTTGCAGCAAGCGAGTATTTTGCCTCCGGTGCTTTGTAGCCAGATCGTGACAGATCGGTGCCGGCTTCCAACAGCTGAACGATCTTACCAAGCCTAGGATCCTTGCGCGATTCACGAGCGATGTGGTCTGCGCGAATCGGTAGTTGTGCGTGCGATTTGATGAAGGGTAAACAGATCGAACTCGTCTTCACTGCTTACTTTGCTGCTCGCTGGTGTTCGTATGATTCGAGAGCAATAGTCTGCATTGACGTTTTCTTTCGTTGATTTGAACACAACATCGAAATTGAAGTGTGCCAAATAATCAGCATAATTGGCCATTCTACTGATACACAGAATTGGAAGCGATTTCGTCGGGTGTAGAATTTGACTCAACGGCTTATTATCGGTGACCAGCGTGAATCGGCGAGCGCATAGGTAGTAGAAGAACCTTTTGACGATGGCGAGAGCCTATTTGTCAATCTGTGGGTAGCGCTGTTCGGTGGGAGACATGGAACAGCTGGCATATGCTATTGGCCGTTCCCAGTTTCCCAGTCGGTGTGAGAGAACAGCTCCCAAGCCATTTTTACTTGCGTCCGTAGCCAAAATCAAAGGAAGTTCTAGATCGTACTGCATCAGCACCTGTGGAGAGATGAGGGCTGATTTGATGTCTTCGTAAGCTGCGACCCGCTAAGGTTTCCACACAAAAGGTTCCCCTTGCAACATGTCATGCAGACAGCGAGATCGTGACGAGAGATTGGGAATGAAAGCGTTGTAGTAAGTGGCTTTCCCCAAAAACAGCTGTAGCTCATCCGTATTCGACGGACGAGGTGCATTACGTATGGCTTCGATGTGTTGGTCAGATTTGTTCAACCCGTTTGCATCGATTTTATGACCCAGGCATTCGAGTACCGGGGTGGCGAAGACACATTTCGAGCGATTTAGACGTAAACCGTCTGTTGAATACTGCTGTGAGGACTACCAGCAGGTTTTCGAAACAACCTGCAAAGACTATAACGTCGTCATAAAAATTAATGACATTGGACGAACCTTGAAGCACTGTTTCCATTCGACGCTGCCAGATCGCAGGGATGTTTGCTGCTCCGTAGACCGCTCTTGTTGGACGAACTAACCCGTGTGTTGGTGTGTTAAGCGTGAGAACATGTCAAAACTCCGCGTCGATTGGGAGGTGGTGTAAGCATCCGTCACGTCCGGGTGACAGAATAGACTGGCTCCTTTCATTTGGTGGAAGATGGACTCGATCTTGAGAATGCGTAGCTTTCCATTCTTCTTCAAAACGATGTGGGTGGGGGACGCCCATTCGGAGTAGTCGACTCTCTCGTACACACCTGCTGCAAGCTTCTTGTCGATTTCCTGGGCATACTGGCTCTTCAATGTTAGTGGTACGTCTCGAGCTTTGGCGAATACTGGAACTGCTCCAGGCTTCAGGTGCACGGATGCGGGCGGACCTATTAGCTTGCCAGGAGTGTCACTAAAAACGTCATCGTAATTTGCCAACAGTTGCGATAGAGACTGCCGTTGTTCCACCAGCAACATAGGAGAGGCAGACACAATCGAATGCACCGCACCAGTTGGGGTGAACAGCTCGTTCAAATTCACTTCAGCCGTAAGCTGGGCAATCCACTCTCTGCCACAAAGCGTATCGGTGTCACCAGACACGACGGACAAATCAAGTTTGTGAGTAGTCGTTCCGATGCTGACGTTCACTGGAAGACGACCCAGTGTAACTGAAGAATTGTCGGTCTGTTCGCAGCAGTGCAAACGATGGTTTGATCTCCCGTAGTTTGGCTTCACTGATTATTCCGCATGGTTCTCCGGTGTCCACTTCCATTTCCAACCCGTGTCCGTCGATGGTGACGTTGATGACTCGCTTCCCAGACGTGGTGACGGAATGAATTTTGCTCAGAGACTAAACGATGTCTACTTGCGAAGCTGGTAGCTCTTCCGATTGCACTTGGGAGGTGGATTGTTCCTGGGATGTCTGCCTTCCGGCTTTGCAGACTTTGGAGATGTGGCCCTTTCTTTCGCAGTTGTAGCACTTCGCATCACGGAACTTGCACTGGTTTCGAGGATGGTTGCCACCACATCCACTACACACACTCTGCTCGTGTGTTAGTTTTTCACTACACTTTTGTTTGTGTTGCCTTTGTCCGCGTCTTCGGTCGCTCGTAGCCCAGCTTGTTGGTCGCCTCTGGAATCAACGATGATCTTGCCGTTCGCACCTCCTGTGAGTGTGTGTGCAAATTCAAAAACCGATTTGAACGTTGCCGGTTTCTTGGCGATAATCTCTTCACACATCTCGCGCGATTCAAGGCCGTGTAGGAACTCCTCGATCAGCATCCTATCGAGAAATTCTCCATACTCGCAATATGCAGCACCTTGTTTGAGCCGGAGAACAAAACTGGAAACTGATTCGCCCTTCTGCTGCACTATTTCCCGGAACTAGATGCTCTCAATGTACTTGTCCCTTGCCTGGTCAAAGTTGGGCACTAATGCAGTACGGAGCTCCTCGTACGAGATCTCTGCCGGATCACGGGGACTCATCAGGAACTTGATGGCGTTGTTCAACTCCGTACCCATATGCATTCGAGCATAGTGTGCGTATTGAGCTGCCGGAATATTGCTCAATTGCAGAGCCCATTCAAAGCGGTTGAAGTAATCCGAAACAGATGTGCTTTCCGAAGAACGAAACTCGTAGACGGAAAACGAGGGTGTCTTAACGGATGGCGCTGTCGCTTCTCTCGCGGGATTCGCTTGTCCCAAACTTTCAATGGAGGATTTTAGGGCATCGGCTAATATCCGCGTCAGAGATACCATTAGCTCTTCGGTAGCCATATTGCTTTTCGCGAGACCGAAACGTACGCGTCTTACTATCGACCGGAAAACTTTTGCCTCTAAATCCCACTTCTGACACCAAATTGTAGCGTATTTTGGGATCTCGGAAATAGAGAAGACAACCACGAATACTTTTTAAAACTTATATTGTCCGGTTATCATATTCGAACCATCTAAAGCGAATAAAACGATTACCGACGAAAAAGCGATAGTATCTTTTTTGTTTTACATTTGATAACTGAACGGCAGTGATGCCAGAAAGTATTTTTATCGAGCGTAAATAATGTTACATACACAACAATTTCAACAAAGCAAGCGAGCAATACATCATTATCCTACAACTCCGATCAAGCTAAATCACAGAGAGAGTTTATCGTGGTCTTTATCGTTGGTTGCTTTATATGTTTGAATTCGCTGATCAGCTTCAATCGACAAAATCGACGCGAAGAAGAGACTGCCAGCTTCCTTTGTCTGTAAAGCAGATTCACAGAATTCTAGCATCACAGTCGGCGTCTACAAACAAATTTCCAATCGCTTGTCTTCTCTTGTATTTTGGTTCCAAAATAGTTTATAATCTGAAGAAACTATTCGTTAACTCTAAAAAACAATTCAAGTTTCAGAATTTATGTTGTTACTGAAGACAAATCCACTCCAGAATTATTATGTTCAAAGAGTAAAAGTGGATAACGAGGAAGATAAAGTTTTAGAATGTTTTAAAATACTGCAGAAGATTCTTTGGCATACTTTAATATATGCTATCCCAATTTTTAAGATCTGCTTTTCAAATTTCCCTGGTTTTTCAAGATAGCAGACACTCTGATCAAGCTAACTGCATTCAATTTCGCTTTATTCCCAATGAGAAGTTGCAGTTGTTCTCGGATTAGACCGCATGAAAGCCCTTCCCATAGATTCAAAGCATCGAATTAGATCGAATTTACGAGATAACCCAACTTACACCAATTAAACCCATCCAAATTGGGAAACCAAAAGCAAAACACCTTCTCCGTTAGCGTGTACCGGCAAAACCTCGCTTACAAATTTCCATTTCTTGATGAAAGCGCAACATTAGCGCCAACTAAACGCCACGATGAGCAAGCACCATTGCTCCGATTTGCGTCTTATCTCAGATTAAGGAAATGAGAATGGTAATTAATATCTTCGCCCTTCTCCCCCATTTCATCGCTCTTCGCCTCTTGTTCTCGACTCTTAGGTAAAAGAGTCGCCGTTTCATAATTTTCCCAGCACTAGTTATGACGTTATGAGCGCTTCATCGCAGATTATCCACCATCATGCATCCTGGAATCCATCCGAGCTTCGGTTCGAAGCGAAATGAAAGATTATCAAAAAAAAAGGCGATTAGATATCTGCTGAGCTTAGTAGGCGATGAACAGCAAGCGATAGCAAAAAGGTTCAAAGAACTGACTGCTTTGTTTTCAGAGATGGTACAAAAGAGAGAGGGAAAGAGGCGCGATTATTTTGTCTCCGATCCTAATCAAAGCGATAGGAAAACAACACTTTGGCGACGGTTCGCTATTGTGTGGCAAAAATATATGGAGATTTTGTGAGATGGCGTTGAAATGGTTGTTGTAGAGTAGGAGGTACATACGTTGCGATCCGTGTCAGTGAGTTGAGATCTGGAAGAAGAGAAGAAAATGCGAGATTTTGTTAGACAAAAGCTTGGATGTGTGCGTGCTGGCGGAAATTTAATCTTCTGATTGCCATTTTCCAAGCAAAAGATTCACGTGACTTTTTCCATGAAGCTTACTACTTGAAATGAGAATGATATTCAGCCTAGCACAGACCACTACCACTAGCGACTGGCAGAACTTGAAAACGTGATAAACTATCCGGGTAAGGTGCCCGTTTCCGCTTCGCCGGAGGCAGAAAGAAAAACGTGCCCAATTAGTTTAAGTAACTCGTGTTCTTCGTCATCTTCGTCTTTGAAAATAAAAAAAAACACATTCTACTCGGCCGTCTTTCTCCACCACAGCTGCAACGGGGACCAATTAGTGTGAGTACGCGAGCGTGGCCGCGTGCTTAGGCTGTGTCCAATTTGCAGTGATTTGAATAGATTTCAGATGACAGATCTCGGTAGGTAGTAGGTGAGTGCCAAAGATTTGTCGTGACACAAAACGCCAACGAGGAGGCAAAAATGGAAGATGCCTCGGTAATGACCCTTAAAGAATAGAAGGCGAGTATAATGGGTGTTTTTGTTCAAATCAGATTGATGAGCGAGGGATGATGAATGAATGGGAAGGCGACCAGAAGAGGGAAATGACGATTTTAATGAGGTTTTCAAAATGAATTTCAGCTTCAAACATAAGGAATTTGAATGGACGAATCAATGTCGTACAACACGTTAAATCAATATGGAAGAAGGGTTAAATCTCACCATAGGCCGATTAGTTCAGGTTTCTCTATAGAAATGATGATATTTACCGAAATCTTTCATTAGCTCGAGATCATTAGAATACTTGCTGATTAACGTGCCAATTTTGGAGAATTTCTGAGGGACAACATTTGAATTTTTGAACATTTGATAATCTTCACAGTAATGAGCGAACGAAGTTCCCCGAGTTCCCCCCTGAACATCTTCATAGCTTATTAAGTTTTAAGAATACGTGTGCACCTTAAGAATTGATGAAACGACCCATAATTCCTTAAAAACGCCCAAATGATCCTTTAAAACCCTGGTGAGAATTTCTAAAAATGTGAGAATGATCAAAAAAAAATCACTATGATCCATATTTTGTGTAAACTTTAGCAACAAAATGGTAAAAATGAACCCTTCAATTTTTAAAGAACGAGCATTGAAATCGAACGAATTACCCATAAGCATACCCGAGTAACAATTTAGGTTTTATGAGGGTGCTGTAGACCATGATTTAGACTTGTATAATGCTATAAAACCGCGATAAAACTTGCAATGTTGCTTGCGTATTGCAAATGATCCATAAAACGTTCAACAACCAGAACCAGAGACTAACAAAATTGATCCATAGAAAATCAAGTTTGTGCACTAAAAATATAGGAAGGATCCAAAAATCAGAAATATATTCTTCCTGTTTTGGACATTATTTTTTTAATATTGATCCATAAACCTTGGAAGATTGCTCCATTGCTGCGTAGCTTCTCAGATTAACTGTCCTACCCGTGTTATTTTTCAGTTAGAGGAGTGGAGCGACGGGCAAGAGTCTAGATAAAATAAGCTTTTAAAATAAACTTCATGAATAAGTTTCTAAAGCTTCTAATGATTTTAAAAGAAGCATCTAAAAGAAGCTTCTTAAGAAGGTTATTATAGAAGTTGCTACAAGCAAACGTATGTTTGCCAAAATCCTTCTTAAAATATTGTTTTGGATTCCTTAAATGCTGTTCAAAATTGTCATTTAACTCAACACACTCCTCAGAAATCCTAAAAAAATGGTTTTGTTCTGTTGATTGATTTATTTGGTAAGGCTCAATCGAATTAACTTTACAGAGCCGAGGATTCTTGTTCAGTATACAAAACATCGTAAAACAAAAGTCAAAAGGTACAACACACTTTATCTTCCGCTATCCAATAAGTCTCCTCCATCATAACGGGATCCGCTTCCAGTGGATTCATTGTATGGCAGTATCGCCAATGGAGGCAGATCGCTTCCATTGCAGCAATGGACGCAAAACGTGGTCATCATGAACTGGTTGCTTTCCAAAGTCGACGACGCATCGACCGAAAGAACTGCTCATGAAGAACAATGAGGAAGACCACACAAATGGTTGCTGCCGAGTAAACAGACGATCACGTGACACATATCGAGAGTGGCCTGCTTCTGTCGACAGCCGAGTGAATACTGATTTGTGCAATTTTAGTAAAATGCTTTTTATTTGACTGCCCTTTTTCAAAGTGTTATTTCTTAAACCGAATTAACTTATTTTCTTTTCTATATGTGTAGTCAAAACATTATTCGTTCGTTTTAAAGATCAATGTTTTGACTACAAATGAGAAACAAATTAGCCGATTCGGTTCATTGTGCTTCAATAAATATTAGTTACAAGATGGAAAGTCAAATAAGAAAATAAGAAGCGTTTCATTAAAACTGCTCAAACTTCTTACAAACTCAGCCAATCAAGTTCAAAGCCATACCAAAATATTTTGAACAGTTGATGTACCAGCAGCCAAGGTTTCAGAAATGAACTTTTTTGAAGAGTTAAAAACATCACGAGTTGATAGACTTTGTACCGGTACTGTACATCTTTGTTTTTTTAGGATAAGAGCAACGTCCACATGACAATAAAGGAAATGTTGAAGAGCATCAAATCCGCCATGATTGCTGCCGAACGTGAACAGGATGCGCTGAGGACGAGATCCATGACTGCCGAAAAGAGGCTGATCGAGGCCAAGGAGAAAGCAGCAGCTGAAACACAGGAGACGCCGAAGGGACCTCGAAATCCACGCTCGGGAGGCTTCAAATGCTCAGCATACAAAAAGGCGATGGCAGGCCAACAGTAATGGAGGTAACCCAAATAAACCTCAATCATTGCGACAACAGAAACAAAGTGCGACGTTGCAATCATTGCGGAACCGTATCGAGTCCCTACCGATAACGGTAACTGGGTGGTGGATAGAGGTGGGATGGCTGCTATACCAGTTATGGGCAGATACCCCATTCAAGAAGTGGTTGCGAGCTCATAGGAAGGTTTCGTGATCGCCAAAATCAACGGAATCTTCATGTGTAGTTGTTACGCACCACCCAGATGGACGATGGAGAAGTTCCACGAGATGCTGGATGGACTTACCGAAGAGCTGATCGGACGACGACCGGTAGTCATCGGAGGAGAATTCAATACTTGGGCAGTAGAGTAGGGAAGCAGATTTTCCAGTGCAAGAGGGCACAGTCTGCTGGAAGCTCTGCCAAAACTGGAAGTTATGCTGGCCAACGAAGGCACCACAGCAGCACTTTTGGCAGAGATGGCCGGGAATCCATTATCGACGTTACCCAGGTAACAATATAATGCTTAACAAGTGTTGTTTAATCGATTTTAATTCAGCCTTAGATTGAATAATTGCTAACCTTTGTTTAGCTTTTAAACATCTAAATCGGGTGATTTTAATCAGCCAAACGCGTAACAGTAATATACATTCTAAGCTTTTTAAGGCATTAAATAACAGTCTTTTCCAACCTTTGTTCAGCCTTCTAGTTTTATTTAAAAAAAAAGAAAACCGCATCTTCTTCTTCTTCTTCTTCTTCTTCTTTTTCTTCTTCTTCGCATTTCAAGCTTATTGCATATCGCATATTTAGCTTATTACGTGCTCTCAACTTAGTGTTCTAGATGCACTTCCACAGTTATTAATTGAGAGCTTTCGATGCCTGTACCATTTTTAGATTGGTATAATCGTGTGGCAAGTCCAATCATACTTCTATGCCCAGGGAAGTCGAGAAATTTTCCAACCCGAAAAATTCCCAGGCCGGACCGGGAATTGAACCCAGCCACCTCCAGCATGGTCTTGCTTTATAGCTGCACCTTTACCGACTGAGCTAAGGGAGGTCCGCATCATATCTTATGCATTTATATGGAGCTGCTTTAACTTGTTGTTGATTAATTGGATTTACATATTTAGATTGTTAATATAATTCTAAAAATTTACTTTGCACTTCGGGATTCGAACCAGCAGTCGCTGATTCACAGGCGTCAACCATACATATTGGACCACTTAAGCATATGTGTGGCAAAAGGTGTGATAATTGACTTGAAGCACGTCTAATTTAAGTTGAACAACAGCAACCGGAAGAGTATTATACAGCAATACAGAATTGTAAACAACAGTTGGTGACAGTTAAAACAATGTGGACACAAGTGCGTGATTTATTTCGACGGTCATTTGGATGCTATTTAAGTGCCATAGTTGAGTAACATTTTTGAAATGCAGTCGGAAACTTCAGTGCAATATAACAGACAAAACACAGGAATACAAATGTTAATACTTCCGACGTCGTCGCAGCCCACATCTACCTGGACCTATTCCTACAAATATCCTCTTCCCTGTCTATACTGCTGCCACAGCTTTTAATTAGAAAGGTAGGCAGTGAATTTAGAAAAACTAAAATGTCAGAAATGCAACGAATGACACAGACACTGACGACATTTAACAAATCAAGCTACCAAAATGTGTGTAACGCATTGCTAATTTGTTGAGTTGTGCTAAGCTTAAATAAGGCTTGATAAATCTTTAGATCTGCTAACTTATTGAGGTTGGATTATGGGGATACAATTCGCTTCATGCACTACTAATCAACTATATATTCAGCCTAATGATAATCCGCTTTGTACACCTTAAATCAACCAATAATCAGCTTCTGTTCTTACTGTTCAGCTTGACTTGTTACTTGGGTACTTTCTGCAGTCCCTCGCTGGTGGCAAACATGGATTGGAGAGTGTGCGAAGGATATACCCATAGCGACCATCAGGCGATACGATATGGCATCGGCCAACGGAATACTGTGGCAGTACGGAGGACGAGAACTTGGGACCGGAAGTGGAAGACGAAGGCTTTCGACAAGGATCTTTTCGTTGAGGCACTCCGTGTGGACAGGAGCCCCGTGGTTCTGAACGTGGACAAACTGACAGAAACGTTAGTAACACG